TATCGTGTGCAATTGGGTTCGGTGAAGTTATGTGAAAATGAAGAACGGTGTAATCTGAGTTTTGATCCTACTTTGTGAATGATTATTAGACTAATTTGATTAACAGTCATCTATATGTTTGTTTATTACACGACTCGGGTAGTCAGAGGGCCAATAACTAAAATCAACCGATCAAAATGTTCTATTGCCAGTCAATATTCTCTCAGTATTGGACCGGGCACTGTCCCGAGCTGCACTCGGTCCGTACTGTCAAGACCTCAGGCCGATATTCTCCCAGTACGGCCCTCGCGCTTGGTTAATAAGATATAGTGTTCTCAAGTTTAGAGAAGGTATTAACCATATATATTCTACTTTGAAGTTCTTTAGACTACTTATATTGTTGCCAACTGTGCCTTACAGTCAGCCTTAACACTTTGTATTGAAAAGAAGGAAAATGCCAACAAGTCGATCAGTCTGATTGCCAAGACATCTCATTATGGTCCCAACTTGGTGTTAAAAGGATTCAAATTATAGTTAAACAGTGTTATCATCACTTTGATCCAATCTTGTTGCAGGCAATAATTCATCAGTGCCGTTGAGCAATGCAACAAGTCCTACCTCAAGTAATGGAATAAATCAGCTTTTGTCACCAAATACAACCAGCAACTCTACAAGCCCAGTTGTGTCAAAATTTACCTCAAAACCAACTACTCATGCCTCAACAACTTCAACAACATGGCCTGGAGTTAAAAGTAGTGTTAAGTCTGGATTGAGTTCTGCAACTCTTGCATCACCCACAAAGAATGCTAGTGTTCAGCCAGTTGTTATGGACAAAAATGATGATGAAGGTATTATTGGAAGAAGTCCATATTTACTAGTTTAAAAGCCTTGTCAGGTGAAGTAAGATGTTGACTGATTGTCAGTTAGGGCCTCCATTTCAGAAAAGCACAAATTATCACATAGTTACAAATCTGGCTAACAGTTTTTGTGCTTCTAAGTAAGGTTATCTGTGTGTTATGGGTACAAACAAAATTTTCATAATACAAATATTTTATTGTTTAAATCATCATTTTGAATATGTATGAACTCTGGATTTGGACTTTTTATGACTGAGTAAACCTGATCCTGATGTTGGTGATCAAGTTATGGTATAAAAACATGTTTTAAAATTATTTCAGTAGGTACTTTTATAATAACCTTGGTGGGATTCCTAGATTTTGTAATAAAATATTGGTCTGTTCTATATGCACCGCCCAGTAACTATATCCACCACACACCACCCAAGCAATCTTGTTATCCACTTCCTCCAGCATGTTTTTTCCTCTTCAACTTGTCATGTTGGGATGTTGTTACAGCAAATGACCATGATATTTTTATACATAATGTGCAACACAATTAAATCAAAATTTATTTCAATATCTTCTTTTAGATGGAGTTCCCTATTGGGTCTACATTCTCATAGCTTTTGGAGTGATCTTTGTCATCACTGTTGTTGTGTTTGTCATTTATGCACGGCTGGAAAGGTGGTAAGTGAGATTGTTCTATCCGTATGGCTTGTTCTATCCGTATGGCTTTTTATGATATCGGATGAAATTAAAAGGAAGTTGAATTAAATTTCTATTTATAGCCTGGTTTGGTATCAATTTCACAGATTTAGTTTATATCCCCTCAATGCTTTTTCCTGCTTTTTTAGGAAAACCCAGGGTTCATACATGGTTTGGGATGACAATGAACTAGAGTTGAGCCCTGCTTTCACAAGGTGATTATCAGTAGTTAAAACAGGAAGTGAGAAAGATGATTCCATCCAATTAAGATTATGTTTAGAACATGACCTTTGTTGAGTGTTTGATTGAAAAAAAGTGTTTGGCACAGAAAATGAGCTCAGTTAGACAATGAAAGTTCATCATGAGAGGAGTAATCCAGAAAAGTTTGAGCTCTTTTGTCACACATGAGAGTGCCAAGTTGTTCTCATAAAGTTAGTTTGAGAAAAGGACAACTTCTAAATGCATGGCCCCCCTACAGTGTAAGGTCTCCAAGGTAGTTAGTGGGTAATATGTTTTCATTATATGTAAGGTTATGTGAAATTTTGGTTGAATCAGGGTGTTTTAACTAGGGTGAGACTGGAATTGTCATATATTGTTTGAAGGGCTTTATAGGGTCAGAATTTTTTTTGTTGCCGTTAAGAGAGAGCTATCAATAACAATGCATTTCCATTTTTGTTTGTTGTTGAAATATTTTTTATTCAGTTTGAGATTAAAGTAGTATCAGGAGACTGCAGAAAATTTAATTTTGACAATGAAAATATAATACCTTGCTATCATTGTAAGTAATATAATTATTTTGTTTCCTCTTTTTATCACAGAGAGTCAGAATTCCTCCTTGATAGCTTGGCAAGTAAGTTTGAAAATTTTTTAAAAATTGTATGTGTAGCCCTCCAGCTGAATGTACTTTTTTTTTAAATACAAACTGTCATTTGAAGTACAATGTATCATTTCTTGTGAGGTCAGCTTGCATATTCTGTCTCATTAGATATGCTTGGCAGTGTGGGTGATATTTTTAGTTAAGGGGGGGGGGGGGAAGGTTCAGAAGTAAATACCAGTCATTATCAGTTTATACTGATTTTCAAAGTTGAAGTTTGATAAAAGTTTGAAAGAGATCTATTCATTATCTTCTTAATTTTCAATTTCTTTTACTTTTTTTTTCCAGCTAATCAAGAACCAGGGACTCCTGAACTTCAGATCTATGAAATTCCTTTGGACTCACTGGGCCACCAACGAGTATACATAGGAACAAAACGAATTGCACCCAAATCCGATGAGCACAAGGAAGCTGTGAGGTTTACCAAAACCAAGAAGTCAAGAAAGAAGGATGCAGGGTTTCAAGGAAACACTTTACCAAGGGCAGGGAGAAGGGATCATATTTACAGCTCGGTAAATGATGAAGTCAGCAGTGCCTTTAGTGAAGGTAAAAGAAAATATTTTGCGAGTTATCCAGTCATAAAATTTAACAGAAAGGTTGTAAAAATGTGTCTAAAATATTCACATTTCATGAAAGCTTCATATTTGGTTTCATGGAAATCCCTAATTGTTTTTAATTAGTAGAATGACACTCTATCCATGGATCTTTGTATTGTAGTGGCATCTCAAACAATTAGACAAGAGTGAGGCTTTGTATTATGATCAAATTGAGACATAAAAGACCGTGTGATTTATCCTCATTTATATGCTCATGTAAAACTCGTAACACTAAAAGAGATCATTGATTCAGACATTAAGAGAATAATATCCCAAAATTCATATTAACATAAGAAGGCATTCTCTTGGTGATACTTTTAGAAGATAGATCAGTTTTGCTTATTTAATTGTTTTAACAACTTTTTTACTCTTTCAAATTAGGCCTTTAAAAATCTCTACAATTTTAAAGAAAAATTTTTTAACCAGTGGAAGGCTTTTTATTTGAATATGAATCTTAACCGTGATTATTGTCTTATTTTTATTCAAATGATAAACTTTTCAATATTTCAATAATTTCATTGCAGGAGACCTTTTCGAGGGCAGAAATGTTAATGGGCGTACCACACCTTCTGTTATATTATCCAGCCAAACCTTTGGTAAAAACAGCTCACCGAAATCCATGTTCAATGGCCGATCTCCCTCTCCAGGGGAGTTAGATCTGAAGATAAGATCGTTCACACTTGGTTCACGAACAAAGAGTGTCTCCAACATATTTCAGAATAGGCCATTACCACCTGCTCCTAGTAAACGCTTCTCAAAGAGCCTTGATCGATTGCGCTTTTTTGAAATCACGCAAAACAGGGGAAAAAGCGGAACGTACCCATCCCATCAGAAGTCACCCCCAATGCTGGCCCACCCAATGTTAGTAAAATCGTCCAGTTTCGGAGGCACGTACAACAAAATAATCAGTGGATCACAGGCGTTGCCACCTGTGCCACCACCACCAAGAAAGGGCTCGATGGGTTGCATCGACAAATTGGCAGCATATGATGTGAGTGATGCCAAGAAAACTAACCTTTGCCACAGACACTCCAAGTCTTTAGACACTCTTTTACTGTTGAGAGAAATCAACTGGACCGCCTTTGATGTGGACATTTACCACCCCTATGAAAGTGTGTCTGGTAACCAGGTGGGTGAAAACAACAACATTGTGGAACCTTCCTATGCAAGTGTTAGCAGTGATGAAAAGGCGTCCAGCGGTGAGAGCAGTGGAAGAGCAAGTTCTCAAAGCAAGGCGAGCACTCGGTCTGCAAGTCCGATAGATAGTGACACGCCAGAAGATAAGGTTGACGAAGATCACCCGTACGCAAGTGTCACCGAGGATAACGAAAGGCCAAAGACGGGAAGCTTAAATGGGTGGGACCAGCGATATTCAAACCGTGAAAGTGATGGAAGGGATAGTGGAGTCTCTTCCGCCATGCTTGAACCTGACAGTGATCCTGCTTCTCCATATGCATCGGTAAGAATTAGTCAGATTCCAGGATTAGTGACGTCACCGTGCCGCTCGTCACTGGGTGAAGATAGCAACTATGGAGAGGTCTTTGAAAAGGAGGATTCTGGGTCAAGTATTGGTACTTGCAAGGATCTTAAAGAATGTGTTGATTCTAAACGATTTAGTACTCATACTTACTTGGAGCTCATTCCGGACAGTGGCAGAAATAGTGTAGTATCGGAAACTAGCTCAGGCTATGCACGACCAATAGATGTTATTTCAAGTAAACCAGACATGTCCGATAGTCAGGGATTGGATAACAAGAATCGTCAGAGTTTATCTGATCTTGAGATCCCCAATGAGAGATCTGGCACACTGGAAAGTACTTGCAGTGGTCGTGATACTCTTCCCTGCCCCTTCAACAACAAGGGGATTACGTTGTTGGTGGAAGACAATTTGGAGAATCGTGGACGCCGGGACCAAACGGATGAATTGGGTGTTGGTTCATATGAGAAAGATTCGTCCAAGGAACCTCAGGCAAGTGACGTAGCTGATGATACTAAAGGAGATCCTGAGCATAAAGGTGAACACGTTTATGAGGACGCAGACTACATTCAAACTTTAAGAAATCAAGAGAGAAACAAGCGTTCAGACTCAACGAACAACGACACTGTTGTTAACATTCAAGGAGTTAGCTTGCGAGGAACTTGTCATAATGATGAGTTTGTCGTGTAAGATCCTTTCTTTCCGTGACAGTTTGAGCATTTAACATTACACAATGTTGATAGTTAAACTCAATAGCTTTAAAAAGTCGGTGTGTAATAGAAATTCAAAACAGTTTTTAAACTGCAACACGCAGAAACTTGCAGTTTTAAAGTACTTGTTTAGGAATGAAAACTGTGGTAATATAAACGCAAAACATTATTGCGATGTGTAGGCTGAATATCTGTACAGTAAACGCAAGGAAAGGAAGTGCTTCACTAAATCAACCTGATTGTGAAAATTTAAACTTGTTTGATAAGAAGATAATATGCGGCTGGTTCGTATGTAGGTAGGATATTCACCGTTGAGCTGGCCTCATAGCTGAATGTGGATCCTGTGGAGTGTTTACTAGCGTACATTTTGTTACAGCGATTGGGATTACAGAAGTACTTTTTGGCTGCGTAGGAAACGGGGTTAGGGGGCAGGCCTCCTCCTCCGGTATCAACATTAAATACCTAGCGTATTCTGAGCGTGTGAGTACGCACCAAATACACTGCTGATGTTACTGAGTTGGAATGATTTGAATTCGGTATACAGACAAGTACATGTCAGTCTTGATATTATCACTTGTTCGTAGTCATTTGCACACATTCGATATCGTATAAGAATCGATTGCAAGTCAGTTTTGGCTTTTACGGGATCTGAATTTTATTTGTTACACAAATTTAATATACGAGTGCAAATATTATGTGGTATTTTGTTAGCCTCCATGAGGCGATAGGGACAGTAGACGTTAGTAGCTTTATTAAAAACGCACCCAAATGGCTAAAAGTAGTTTCTGCTTTGAAATTGAATGAACTTGAGTTCTTGTAGTTCAAGTTTAGGTAAGCGGACCATGTCAAATTAAAAAGAATGAATAAAGCCCCTAAGTAAGCAGGAAGAGTGGACATTGAATTGCTTCTTTGCTTTTCAATCAACCATGATGAAGTAAAGGCCATTTTCGAGAGAGCTCTAGTTGAAGCGCCCTTGTTATAATATTTTACTAGTTTTTAATTCGAAAGGTTTTCCATCTAGACTGAAAAAACGCACTTACCTGTGATAAAACCAACGCAGTAAGCTGTGAAATCTCTTGATGCAGCGATGAAAAGCTGTCAGTGCAATACTCGATGATTGTGGGGTCTCGGACAGTCGCCTTTAATTCAAACTGTGTGGGAGTAGATTCAAGGTGGATAGTTGTGGTTTCTTCCGGAGCCATATTTCAGAAAATTTTTCATTTGGATAAAGCAAAGATCTTTTGGTAGAGCGAAGTTGAAATCACTTATATTGCAAGGTGATTTCCTCGCTTTCGTCTTCTAGAAAACCGAATTCGGAAGTTTGACGTGTAACGAAGCGCGCCACTCCCCCGGGGTACTCGATATATTCCTGGGTGGGGAGGTGCGGCGCGGCCCCTTATACCCTGACCCTGTTTAAGACAAATATCGCTGATTTTCCTACCCTGTTTAAGACAGAATTCGGTTTTTTGATACCCTATTTAAGACATTTAATGCGCCTGGTATCAATGCCATAATCAACGGAATTCAATATTAATTAAAATTAGAGCTTGTAAACTATAATTTTGCTGTTTATCTTCCAAGGAAAGATATCCTGTTTAAGACAAAAATTGATAAATCGATACCCTCATTAAGACAAAAAATGATAAATTCGATACCCTGTTTTAAGACAAAAATCTCGAAAAACATACCCTGGCTAGGCCCTATTAAGCCCTTATAAGGGTGTACTCCCCCGGGGCCACTCCGAGGCCTTCGAGTATTTTGGCGCGCTTTCAATTTGCAACGCGGATGGCAACCAAAAACACAGTTCAGTGAAAAGTCAGATAACTTTTTTTAACAATAAGTTTCTCGTTTCGTTACCAGTCTTCACTATTTTTGGGGATGATATCAGTATATTTTCATGCATCAAAGAAAGCCTTTTAAAACGGCGGGTTATTGGATACCGAAGGAGTTAAAAACTAGCGTTAATTTCAGGTAAGGTTGCATGGAGTACAATTCATTTGCTTTTATTAATAGTTTTGAAAACTGAACTTTCTTTTTACCCCCAAGCATCGTAAAAACCTTCCGCCTTCTTAGACAAACTAAAAATAACTAAAATCAAAATGTACTCTAATTACGTTTATCGTCGTGCGAGTTGTCTGTGTAGTATGAGAACAATGAATAACTTGGTTCATAGCGCAG